ATTAATGTGGCCATTTAAGCAAACATAGTTGGTAGGGGGGGGGGGCGGCTAGTAGTAGTAGTAGTAGTAGTAGTAGTAGGAGGAGGAGTAGTAGTAGTAGTAGGTGTAGTAATTATAGTCATCAACGTTTGCTCTACAATTTTGAGTCGGCCCCGAAGGCTTTTAGTTGCAAATCAGTCATGCTGATAAGCGATGGAAAGACTGCAGAGAAGGTTCCTGGTATAGGATCTAGGGTTCACTCTAGGAATGCTGAAATCCAAATAAGAGATCGATCCCTAACGGTTTAGGATTTATGGTTTTACGGTTTAAGGTGTAGGGCCCTCCTCAGTTTTGGGCAACGACAGCATGGACGAAATGATGTACACAAGTATCTATACCTCAGCATGTAGGATATACTAGTAATCCACACTGTCATAATGATCCTAAGATGCAGCCGCATCATAATCCACACAGTATCTTCTACCATTGTTCCACCCCATGTAAGAACCCCTGTAGTGGCTCCTACAACCCATACTCGCAGCAAAGAACCAAAATTTAATCCCCATCGGGGCTTGGAACTCTAGACCCTAAATCCTAGAACCATGAACGACAAAATTGCATCCACTCCCATAACCTATATAAACGACTCCTTGAACCACGTGCCAAAAAATTGCCTGTCCATCATCCCCAACTTAGCTCTGCATGCCCTACAAACCCTGTGAATCAAGTACCTGGTATCTGGGTGTTGATCTAAAGATGCTGTTTTTGCGAGATGATCTAAGGAGTTCCTGTAGTTGTTTAGAGGAACCTTTGAAGGAAACCATCTTCCATAATGGCCAGTTTGCGTACAGGAATGTTGATCGACTACCATCTCCAGTGGGAAGCTTAAAAGACACTGGCCCCTGTGATAATCCTCATGGCGGCCCTGTACAGTGACATGTTAGGATGAAGAGCCCTACCTCGTTGTGGAAAATGTTTGTGACACATTTTCTTGTTACACCATCCGAAGCTATGTGCTGCCTGCATCTTTGAAATATCGAAGCAGGCAAGTAGATTCCGCAAAAAGCTAGAGGGGCTCCAAAATAAGAAGTGCTCCCGCACGAGGGTGTGTTGCAGCATACCACCACCCCTACATCTTCGGGAATTTCTTCACACTGATTCTACGCACCTCTTGGCTTTGTCCACCGGCATGTAGAAAAAGTTGATGCGGTCCATGATATTGTGTAGCTGAAGCTGCTCGACGAATGAGATCGCACTGCAATCCTGCGGCCACTGCAGCAAAGCCCAGAAAAATTTCGCGAGCTTTGCGGAAAAGACTGGTTTAGGGAAATATGGGGGTTATACAAGGATAATAGAAAACCAATTCGAAGCTAGTATTTCCAGTTCAGGGTTTCCTAAAATTAAGGGTACCATTTGGGGCTCCCAATGATCAGGATTTTAATATATTGGGATCTAGATTGCCGCCCCAATATTTTGGGCAACTACCACTCCGAGAAAAATGAATAGACAAAAAAGTAAGGCTATGCATGACACGCACATGTTCAACCCTAAACCCTAAAACCTAATATAGTGCAATCTCGGCCTTTGGGACCTGGCCCACGATGATCGAGCTTCTCGTTTCCTTCAATTGACACGGGAAAAAGCAAGTCAAGAAGGTTGAAAGTAATGTAGACCCCTTTTTCAGAAACCCTCCTCCTTAATAGGGATTCGAATAGGATCCTAATATGAAGGCCCCTAAAAAAAGGGGTGTTTATTCATCAGGGGTCACAGTATAGTTCATGCACACTATAGTCCATGCAAAAGCCAGTACCTGCATAAGACACGACCTACGTAGCACCAAAGCAGTTCAATCGCATGCAGCTGGATTTGTCGATGATGAGAAAATATCTGGTGTAAAAGCTCCCGATAATCATCTGGAAGGCATTTTGGGAAACCCTTTTTGGATATATTTGGGTATATTGGGATGATGGGAAAAAATCATATTGGGGTTATATGGGAGATAATGGAAAACCAAATGGAAACTACTATAATATAATAGGGTATATAGAAGTGTCAACACTGAAACCTTGAATGAAAAGGAATATTCACTGAGCGGTCCCCTCTCATCAAGCATTGTTTGCCCTCTCGCATTTTCTGGCTTGCTTTTAAGGAACTTAATTCAAGCAACCATATTCAGGATACTACACATATTCCTATATATACCCGTTATGGTAACGTAATTCAAGTTGTTCAACAGCAACCCAGCTTGTCCCCATTTCCCGCCTCACCGCTCACGAGACGCGCGTCATCCACATTAAACGCATCCGCTGCGGAGACTCGTGTTCTTTCAGCCTTAGATCGTTGCATAGACGGCACATCGTAGGCGGCATTTGCCTGCAGATAACGCTGCGCATGAAACTCAATCTTTGGATTGCCAACTACTTACTTGGGGTTAGCAGGGCATAAGGGAATATAATGTTTAAAAGAAGGATCATATTGAGATTGTGGGGATTCAATTCGCTTATTCCTTACTCACCACCAGTAAGACTACGTGTCACTGTGGACAATACCTCAAGGCGCCTAGCATGTCATGCTTGCTTTTTTCAAGCCACTAAGCCCTAGAGCCTACACCCTTTGGTGGTTTCCAAGAACCCTAGGCCCTAAACCCTAAACCCCTAAACCCGAAACCCTCTTGAAATGCCAAGCTACTCCAGCGGGAGCTGCTGCACGTGCAGGAGTAGAAACGGGAGCAAAAATGAAAGCATTATCCTGTGGTAGGTTAAGGGTTTAGGGTCCAGGGTTTAGGATTCAGGATTTAGGGTTCAGGGGCTCGGGGTTTAGGGTTTAGGGCAGCCCTATACAACTGGAAGCCTTATAGATTTTACAAGCTCTCGTGGGGATTAGGGCCAATAAGAATTCAACAGCTTTTCCAGAAATACCCCAGTCTCTGCGTCTGCGGAGTCATCCATCGTTAGACCATTGATGCCCTGATGGCCTGGCAAACGATTCAAGGTTTAGGGTTTAAGGTCTGAAGCGCTGTAGCGCTGACAGGTTCTACAACACAGGGCTATATAGGGGCATCACCCCAATCAGGGTTTATGTATGTGTGTTAGGGGTATCATGTTTACTGGCCATGTTGGAATGAACGCGCAAAAAGAATCGCCAGGATTTGTGCAAAATTGAGGAACGCGTTCCCAAAGAAGTCTGATTCAGACTGTGATTGAGAAATTGGGGAACAGAGGCAGCAATGAGAATACTTGCTAAAGGGACTTAGATGGGAACCTCAAAATGGGAAACCCCCAGAATATACTAGGAGTATAACTTACTAAGAATATACCTAGCGACTCCTCATATTCCTATGATATTCCTACTACATTCTTGGGGTTCCCCATTTGGAGTTCCCATGTACTCCCTGTATTTGCGAGCAGTTCAAGCAGAAGGATGCGCACAACAACATGGGTAAGTAGCTGTGCTTCATCATCATCAGCAGCATCGTCATCAAGTACAAACTGCCGTCGTCATTACTATTGCTGTTACTAGGACTATTGCTCCTACTACTGTTGATGGAGGAAATCTTGCACCACCTGAAGTCCCTAAAGTCCTAGGAATTACCAGTAGTTTAGGGCCCCCAGGGTGGGTGCAAGATTTCATCCATCAACAGTATGTCTATAACTCTTGGTCTGTGAGCTTGCACCCCGGGGGTTAGGTAAGGAATGCAAAAGGGAAACTTCACACTACTATCATATTGGGTTACTAGGGAATCAAGGAATGGGCTGCAGGGACTCAGTTGTAATCTATTACGCATATATACGTATACATCTACATGTATATACAAGAACTACTACAGGATTACATTCCTCAGGTCCCTATTCCTCAGGTCCCAAAAAAAACGGTTTAGGGTTTCACGACATTCTGGTGAAAGCATCTGGGGAAACAGCAGTAGCAGCAGCACCAACATCAGCGCCTTCAACAGCTGGACCTATGACACGTACAACATGCGAGCTATAGTCTCAACTCCTAGTATCCCCCTTCATAGCCGCAATAGTACTCCCCTATGTAACCCCCATATCACCCCCTTTTAAGGAGTTCAGACTATAGCTCACATAATCGTTATATAACCCTACATATAGCAGTGTCTATTTCATGTTCCATGTTTGTTTTCATGTGATTCTCCATTTTTCAAGAAGTTTATACTAGAGCTCATTTGGCCAAGGAACAGTCGATGTGCTGGCACAACGCTAGAGCTGCAGATTCCTCAAAGAATTGCACTTCAACCTGACATGGAGGTTTCCCAAAATTAGGGTTGAAGGTTTAGGGTTTAGGGCAGGAATTATATGGCAGTATATATTGGTTGTATAAGGATGATGGAAAAGAAAATCGAAGCTACTATTGAGGGTTTAGGGTTTGGGGTCTATCGTTTCCAAAATTAGGGCTACCTTTTTGGGGGTCCCAATAACATGGACTATGACATTTTGGGGTATATATTGGGGCGCCCCTATTTAGGGGAAACTGCCACATGCGCGCAGCTGGAGTCGAAAATGTTTGTAGGCTACAATGTCGGTCGTCCATGGCCACACAGTAAAATGTTGTGTAGTGCTATTGTGGCTGAACCAAGTAAGGTTCTAGTCTTATTTGGAAATCCTATATGCAAAGAGAGAATATGAATGATCTTGCCTTCTATTGGGAAATTTAATGCATCCCAACTTAAACACCTTCTCGTTCACTTCTTCAAGAAGTGGCAAAACCTATAACTTACTTAGAGAATGGATAGCTAAAGGGAAAACAAAATTGAAACTCTGTATACCCCTTTCAGGACCCTATATACTCCCGGATAACCCTATAGTAATATAGCAGTTTCCATTGAATTTTCTATTCCCCTATATGTATCTGTTTCTAAGGAGCATAGTAGGATTTAGAGCGCAGCTTCATGGTGGCCAGCCGGGTATGAGGAATGGAAAAGAAAATAGAACCTACTGCAGTTGGTTTTAGGGTTTAGGGTTAATTATGTAGGGGCTACAAGAGGAATCGATCCATTCCTCTGTTCCCTGCTGTCCGGCAGGAAGCTACGGTACTCAAAAGGTGCTGAAGCGTTCTTCAAGAAACGGTGCCATCCACTTTACATCTTTGCAAATTCAGCGATCGGATCTCGCCAAACGCAGAAAAGACCCTGGCAAATGATACCTTGGCAGAAAGGTTGTGTTTGACACAACCCAAAGCAGCTCACAGTGGGGATGATGAGCGACGCTAAAAGACATCTGCCCCGGCAATTGCTTCAGAAATCCTACACAGCCGGAATCTTAATCTTTCTCCAAGCTGCAAGAGGAATGCTTCCTGCAAATTCAGCCTTCAGTTGAACGTAGACAACGTAACCGAGATTGTAGGAGCTGATCGCCATTGCCATGCCATTAATCACTACCAGGGGATACAGTCGGGCAAAAACTTTCCTTGCCTTTTGAACATTGACTGCCGGCAAGACATGTGGTAGTTTCCCTTAACAGGGGGACCCGAATATAAACCCCAATTTACTATAGTTCTTATTACGGGGAGTCCAATAAAGGTACCCCTAATTCTGGGAAACCCCCACGCAGTTTGTAAGTGAGCTGTCATGATTCAAGCATTCAAGCAGAGGACTCCATGTGGATGCAGTTGGACTTCCAAAAACCAGGTCCTTTGCTGACATAATAGGCGTCAGGATACTTTGGGGTATGCACGCTGGACCCCGTATTTCGGAAATACCTGCATGCGCATGATGAAGCATCAGCAGCATGTCCTGTGGTGTCTCTTTCCCAGCTCTCACATCAGAAGCACACTGGAATCACGAGGCGCCGACGTGCGTCCAGGTGGCACAATGATCTCTTGATGCACCGATCAATGAAAAGAAAGCCATCTAGGACATCCGCAGCCTCCCAGCAAGATCCACGAGCTACCCCAATAGTAGATTGCAGTATATTGTAGGATATTATTGTAGATTATGGTAGATTATGGAAAATTATGGCATATTATGGTATATTATTGTACATTATGGTATATCATGGTATATTATTGCATATTATGGTATATATGGTATATTATGGTATATCATAGTATATTATGGCATATTGTAGGATAATTGAAAAATAAAAAGAAACCCTAACCCCTATCCTATGTAGGGTTTAGGGGAGGTTTGGGGGACCTTTGGATGATATCACACGAATGTCTTCCACATGGTGACTTCATCCTAGCTCCAGAAATCGATTTAGGGTTTAGGGTTTAGGGTTATGGTTTAGGGTTTAGGGGTCATTGTCACAATCTCTCCTATATGGTAGCTTCCATAAACAAAGGGGTACCCAATACAGACCCTAAAATACGATAATCCTTATTATGAGGTACCCTAATGTTGGATATCCACGATGAATTCCTAGGGCGCCTAGCCCTAAACCCTAAACCCTAAGCTCTAAACCCTAAACCTTAAGCCCTAAGCCCTAAACCTTCAACCCTGAACCCTGAATTCAGCCTGCTGCACCAGGCGGGCTTGCCAGCCTTTGGCGACGAAATCGACTTCATTCCCCTTTGGATCAAAGCCTGTGGCGGTTCAGGGTTGAGGGTGGTTTGGGGTATAGGGGGCTTCGGCGGTTTCCATAAATACGAGGTCTGCAATGTAGACCCCAATATACTATAATCCTTGTTACAAGGACCCAACAATGGTACCAAAATTTCTAGAAGCCGTGCAGTTTCCGTTCCATTCAAGACATCCCCACTACCACTAATTTTGGGAAACTCCCTTATGGGTTCATGACCCCAGCTTCCATTTCATGTTTCATATTCCTTTCCGTTTGATACTCTGTGATTGGGGCAGTATCCCTGAACCTTACAATTGCCCTAAAACCATTTGAGTGTTCTTTTGAAAGTTGATTCTCCAGTATACACTTTTTTGACACGCTTCAAGTTGTGGACCGCTGCTACGTGCTCTCGTGACTTCGCAGAACCCTAGATCGTGGTATATAGGCAAAGAGAAGATGGACAAAAACATGGAAACTACTAGATTATTTGGGGTTTAGGGCTTGGATTTGCAAGACCAACTTTCCCGTGCCTGTGACTTGAACCTCGTTGTACCGCTCGACAAGAGCCCGATAGCCTGCAAATGTGGTCCCAGCAAACTCCAAGGCTCATTGCGCACCTTATCATACTATACCCAAAAGGAGGAGATTGTCTTACTAATTTGGAGGATTCCCAAAATTAGGGGTACCTTTTTGGGGGTCCCCATAATAAGGATTATAGTACTTAAGAGGCTGCGCCCAGGGGCGGGCAACGCAGGCAGCATATTTTGTTGGGTTCCCTCCCAAAACACCCAAAATGACCACATCTGGCCCAAACCCAGGTTCTCGGGCCCAGAACCTGGGTTTGGGCCAGATGAGGTCATTTTTGGTTGTCTTGGAGGGGTTTACACCAAACGTGACCACGTCTGGCCCAAACCCATGGTTCTGGGCCCAGAACCATGGGTTTGGGCCAGATG